ACTAGCTACTACCCTCGCTCAGCACCGGTAGCAGAAGCAGCGGCGGCGGCAGCAACACCACCACCACCAGCAGCAGCAGCACCAGCACCACCTCTACCACCACCACCACCACCACCAACAGCAGCAACAGCAGCACCATCACCACCAGCAGCAGCAGCACTACCACCAGCAGCTGGCAGCCTGGTTTACCACCGGTTGCCAACCGTCGACAATTTGGCCTTAGACCATCAGCGAGGCTGCTCGCTTGGCGATCAATACAAAGACTCAACTTTCGCCGAGTAGTCCAGCGGAATTACTCCGCCATACTCCCCGCTGCAGACAGCGCATTAAGTATTGGAATCGACAGCCACTCGGGCCGCTGCCGCCAGAACTCCGCTGGTAGCTATTAGTATTCGATAACGCGCGACAGCAGCGCCCCGCCGCGGTGAGGTCCGGCCGCGCTGACTGGATAAATACTCCCGGGGTCGCTAGCGCGCCACCAGTTGCTGGGCCGCGGGAACCCAACATGAACAAGTTTAAAGAATTCGGCACATAGTGAAACTGACGTTTTTAGTGAAAGCTCGCCGCATTCTCGCGCATAGGGGGAGCGCGTACGCTAGAGACAGTGCCGTCGGATTTCATAAAGGTCAGCGGTAGACTGTGAAGCACTGACGGGCCCCCGGGGCAAGGACGGACACCGTGCTTGAGTGCAGCAGCTGACGTCGACACACACTCTCACGCATACACAGCCGGCATGTGGCGAAGGATGCGGCTGGCAGCCTCGCGACTCTTCCTGCTAGCTCTACTGGTAAGGAGCATATTAATGCGATATTTTCTTTATCGTTTAATCTAGCTCTAGTAGTAGTACTAGGCCTGCGGCAGTTAATGAAAGCGGGCTATAGTACTACTGCTAGTACTAGTACTACTAGAGCTACGTTTAATCTAGCTCTAGTACTACTACTAATAGTAGTAGTAGTAGTAGTAGTAGTAGTAGTAGTAGTAGTAGTAGTAGTAGTAGTAGTAGTAGTAGTAGTACTAGTAGTTTAATCCAATTAGGTGATGCGCCGCCGGTAATGTAACGAAAACGTACAACTTACAAGCGCGAAGCGGGTACCGTATGAGGGGTTATATTGAATGAGAGCTGCTAATACTATCAACGTGATTATTACTAGTATTAGCGATTACGTTCACAAGCATCGATAAGCGAATAAGCAAGCCCTTTTTAGTAATATTTCCCCGAGACTAATATTGTGCTGTGTGTGTGTGTGTGTGTGTGTGTGTGTGTGTGTGTGTGTGTGTGTGTGTGTGTTGTGTGTATGTAGCGTGGCGGGCGATGCGTGCGTGCGCCGTGTGTTGTTGTCGTGCGTGCGTTGCGTGCGGTGCGTTGTGTGCGTGGCTGCGGTCCGCGTGTGTATTTGTGCGTTGTGCGTTGTGCGTTGTGCGTGAGAGAGGAGAGAGAGAGAGAGAGAGAGAGAGAAGGGGTGGGGAAGAGAGAGAGAGACAACTGCGACACATCGTACGACGTTATCAGGTAACGCTGGAGGTAATACAAACGCGATTAGTGACTTAGCGCTTTCAACATTGTGCATTATTGTAACGTATCCATCACATAGTCGAGAGGTAAGATGAGAATAACTGATCAATAGTATCTGAAGACCGTATGACTCACCCGGCGCACGCGATGTCATATCACGTGTTTTTCACGTGTTTTTCACGCCGGATTTTCTCAGTAATTGCACCTTGCAATAGATCTCCTGTTATCCAGTTTCACTACAACAATGATTAAGACAGAGGCGGTGTTTACTCATGCGCCACGCGCTGGGCGAATTGCGCGGTGTGTGACGTACACTCTATAGTACGACACGGGTTTGTTTGTGTACGTGCATGTACCGCAGTAGCTCCCGAACTATAACCTGTGGCAGAGCGAAGCGCTATAGTTCCAGAGCTAGTACCGCAGGAGATACTGTATACGCCATATTTTTCGCGTACAGATATTTTCGCGAATTCAGACTTTACGGACAATTTCGCGAGTGGTTCATTTCGCGATCGGCGAATTCAGTGCTATAAATAATGCGCAGTGACGACGAATGCTGGAAAAGCTAATGAGAGCACCAGCGGTTGTAAGTAGATTTCATAAAAATGCGAGTCGTGTTTTTTGCGCTTTAGATTTTCCCTGTTGCTCCGCATAATTTCAAAGCTGCCGCTCTCACCTCTTCCCGCGTACCTGTGTTGTTTTAGCATGCTCGGTTCACCCTCTAGCATCGGCTCCGTTATTGAACCTGCGTAAGCTTTAGATAGCGAGAAGAGACACAGCGGGGAATACACGCCTGACATTCTTGAAATGCTAGAGTATTCTACAGCGTTGCCTATTCTAGTAGAGCGATTAGGATCATAATTATATTTAATCAAGTTTAATAGATCTAGCAAAGACTATAAAAACGGAGTCCATGTGCGCGCATAACATAGAGATTTTCTTTGTATTTCGCCTGCACGCTATCAAGACGCCATATACCCCGGCCGATAGTTAGCCATTCTTACTCTCCGGCGGAGTGGGGCAGGCAGATAACCCCGCCCCGCGCCTAACTTTTTGCTTTCGGCTCAACAATTGGCGGAGCCGTTTAAACATTTCAATCAAAGAACAATCATGGTTTTTGCGTCGGTTTCTATGGGAGGGTACACGCACGTACACGCGGGTACACGCACGTACACGCAGATACACGCACGTACACGTGGGTACACGGAGATACACGCGGGCACACGCACGTACACGCACGTACACGCGGGTACACGCACGTACACGCGGGTACACGCACGTGCACGCGGGTACACGCACGTACACGCACGTACACGCACGTATACGCGGGTACACGCACGTAAACGCGGGTACACGCAACTTAGTGTATATACATATTATAAGTGTGTTGCACAATATATATTAGTGTAAGCGTGCAACAGTGGAGCCGCGAAAGCAATGGCGGCTGGCAGCGTAGGATTTTGGTAGCGTTGCACGTAG